AGTTATTTAAAACTTTTCTTATGTCATTAATAAAATTAAAATTGTTTACACTATTCAATATATCTATTAGAGTTGTGCACAGTGAGCCAGCTATTCTAAGCGTAAGGATAGCCGTTCCGGTAAATGTATATATATATATATATATATATATATATATATATATTCTTTACTTTAAAATAATCTTCGAGTAGTAAATATTGCAAAGTTGATCCTGCATACATCGCAAGTGAGCCATTGATTTGTTCATTATACTTTTGTTATTCCAGGAATGGTCGTAAATGGATTTGTAAATGTTGTCATAACGACGATAGAAAGACGATTTGGATTAAAATCATCGGAATCGGGGTTAATAGCGGGTGGATATGACATTGCTAGCTTTCTTCTTCTCGTACCAGTAAGCTATCTCGGTGGCCGTGCGAAAGCATCGAAACCGAGGTACGCACGCATGTACGTCGCCATGGCGCCATGCATGTCTTATGCATTAATATTAATACCGACATCTCGCTTCTGTACGATGATTCTCATAAATATTAATCTTAATGTCAGTCTGTCCGATATTGTCGGCGTTAATCTCCATTCCGTTTTTTGTTACAACAACGCCTCCGAACTTTCGCTCATATAATCGACAATCGATAAGTTGCATGAAGATTTTAAACTTGAATGGTAGATGCGGTCGACGAAGATCGACTTTTTATAAAATTACTTTGCTCAACTTAAAAAAATAATGTACCAAAAAATAATAAAAATATTTACTACAGAAAAAACTCTATAAGGTAATATCACAATTTTGATTATATTGTTTTAAACTTCCAAGCAGATTGTTTTTATTAAAAAAGGTTGCAAGGGAAAATTGAGGTCTGGGAAATTAAATCTGCAATCAATATACCCATCTAAAAGTATAAAAAAATAGTGCAGTAAATTATTAAATTATATAAATTTATTGAAAGTTTATAATAAAACTACATTATTGTTTCATTTATTTATAATTTTTTATCAATTTTTAGATTTTTTATCTTTTAGATTTAGTTATTTTAAATTTTATTAAAAAGCACTCGTTGCATACTTTTTAAAGTTGAAATTTTTAATGCAAGGCTTTTTTGTGGAACGCACTTGTAAAAAATAATATAAGTTATATCAGCCAATTGACTCTCATATTAAATCTCTTCTGATTCTCATTTTAACTTAATGCTTGAAAACAAATATAATATTACAGATTATATATACAACTACAAATGTATATTCGTTTACAAAAAAAAATCTAATCTAATTTTTTTAATCACGCATTGCGAGAAAAGCAATGGAGATAAAGATAAAAGCAGATTTCAAAATTTACAAACATATAGAATAACATATATTTAAATTAACGCAATTTTTCACTTTGATACGATTCAACTTTATAGATAGTACTTATCTCGTGTTATAAGACAAGTTATAAATTTATTCAGTTTGTAACAGATGTGTATTTTGAAATGTCGTAGGTATATCGGCGTAGGAATTCTAGTTCTAGGTATTGGAAGCTTGCTGTTTGCATCTCCACATTATCTTGCTGGACCATACAGAGGAGGTCAACAAACAGAAAATGTATGCCGAAGTGTCACTAATACTTCGAGCCATTCGGTAAGCGACTTGAGTATTATAAATTATTATATACATCATGTATCCAAATTGTTTATTCACATATCCAGTTTCATTTTCATAACGTGATAAGTTTCACACAATCGAGAAGAGATTAATACTATTTAATAATAAACATTTATTTATACACACGGAATATATGCATATTAAATTCTTATTAAATTTTAAATCAAATTTTCATCATACGATAATAAACACAATGCATAATTAAAGCGTGCGTGACTAATCGAAACTTGTTTGTAATTTCGTGCTTTTCTCGATTTCCACTTCTATTCATGTAGTTTGCCTAGTGAACCGACGACGCCAGATTTATCATTATTTCGGCCACTCAGATATCCTGCACGGATCAATCTACCGTTCAAGCGGAGCTAGAGCCTTACAGTGGCGTGTACTTAACCATATTTCTGGTAGCTCAGCTGTTACATGGTGCCGGTGCTGCACCTTTTTATACACTCGGGGTGACATATTTAGACGAAAATGTTTCAAAAAAAATGTCCTCAGTGTACCTAGGTAAGATGTGATTTAGCGCATATATTATAATGTTACATATACAGGGTGTCCTAGAAGTAGACCGACAAACTACAAATGGTCATAAAAGACGGCAAAACAAGCCAATTTTGCCAATAAATCCGTATCCGCAAATGAATCGTTTTGGCACTAGAGAATCAAAGACTAACAAGGTAACTTCGCGAACCCGAAAATTCTGATTTTGATGAAACTTTACACACATGTAGAAAGAGGGAGGGGGGGGGGGGAAATAAAATGATTTTGAAAATTTCCAGTTGCGAATTATCTCGTGTTGAGAAACGCTGCTTTAACGAACTTCGTCGAATTGGACTGCATACTGCCATATTTAATAATTTCTGTGACTGCGGAAGGAGAGACTCGCTCGATGGACTTTCGGCGTAGAATGACCACTAATTGCGAGATAATATGCATTAATCTTACAATTATCATCGCGCCTGTCGAGGGAAAGGATTACAAAGTAAATGGAATTCTAATCCGAGTCTAATGTATTCGTAACACACAGGTTATTCAATACGGGAAAGGAAGTGTCATTAAGAGATCCTTTTAATTTAAAATAAGAGAAAAATTTCGTAGCCACATGTGTGTGATTGCGGATTCTTCGCGTGACTTACGATTATTTCCTAAAGCAGTGCCAAAGATCAATATAACTCAAATCTCTCCATCCTTTGCTTTATCTTACACGAAAGTGTATAATAATAGAACACGATTTTTAGCAAAATAAACGCCAGAGACAAAAAAACCGCAGTATATTATACTGATAATCTCTAATAATCGTTTGTTTTGCTTTTGGTAAACGTCCGGGTTGATGAATTACCGATTTCCGACGAGATTTTACTAGACTGATAGATGAAAATTCAATTCAGGAATTGTAAATGAAACATTATTGGAATTGAATAATTGTTACTCATCGATGTGCATGTCCCACGTTTTTGTCTATCGAATCACTTTGATGAAAGAGGGCGAACTCACAAGTCTATAGTCTCGTTATTATTATTATTCGACTTAGATGGTAGTGTGGATGTGTATGGGACTAAATTTTAATTAATTACATTTAAAAAAGGAGGATTTATGAGCGAGGCCTTAGAGGAGTTAGTCGTATCCGCCCAAAAATATACTTTACTTAACTAGTACTGTACTAATACTGTATTCGAATATTTCACTACATTATATTGCATAATAGAATGTATATACAGGGTGTCCCAGAATTAGATCGACAAATATCAAATGGTTATAAAGGACACCAAAACAAGCCAATTTTGCCGATAAACCCGTCCGCAAATGAGCCGTTTTAGCACTAGAAAATCAAAGACTAACAAGGGAACTTTGTGAACCCAAAAATTCTGATTTTGATTGTAGAAAGAGGGAGGGGGGGGGGGGTAAATAGATGAATTTAGAAATTTCCAGTTGCGACTCAAAAACGGTTCTAAGGAGTGAAATCACCTCTCATATATGTAGAGCGGCTTTTTGCTTTTCTCGATATATCTCGAAAATTATTCAAGATATCAAAAAATGTTTTATACAAAAGTTTTATGATAGAAACTCTATTTAACCACATTAATAAAATTTTGAAAAAATAATTTTTTTTTTCAAAGATTTTTGCTTGTTTAGTCTTTGATTCTCTAGTGCTAAAACGACTCATTTGCACGGGTTTATTGACAAAATTGGCTTGTTTTGGTGTTCTTTATAACTACCTGAAGATTATCGATGTAATTCTGGGACACTCTATATATACATATATGTCGTATCAATTTCTTTAATTGATCAATTTCAACATGCAAATAAAATATATTGTTAGGTATTTATTATACTATGGCCATAATAGGACCTGCATTAGGTTACGTTATCGGTGGTGAACTATTGAAAATTTACACGGACTTTCTTACGGTGGATTCCACGACGTAAGTATCTAAATATTTAGACAGACACAAACAGATTTATATGACATTGTTATCTTCTTTAAAAATAAATTAGATTTATATTTACACTTAAGATTAAAGAAAATTATAATATGTGAAGAAAAAGATATGTAAATATTCTATAATATTTATAAAGGATCGTTGAACGAAAGGAAAAACGTATGACAATGTGCTATCGGAATTTGTCTCTTCTCATTGTCACGCTATAAACGTATTTTCTACTTTTTTCCTGCTAACACGCGAGAACAGATGTTTAGTCGTGCGTCAACGGCAACTTTATTAAATTCTCGCGAGGATTTATTGGCTGTTTGCGCCAATTTGTCTGACGGCATATACGTGTATACATATATGACCATATGTACGGAAATGATTGCACGTGTGTCGTACAGTTTGGAACAGAATAATTCACTGGTCTGATGATATGCAAATGTGCATATTCACGCATATTTTGCAACTAGAATTCTAGGGCCGTACATATAATGGTCATTCATAAAGGGTTTGATATCGATGGGGAAATACCCCCAGTAATAAAACAGCGATTTTAAATAACGCGAGCGAAAAAAAATAAAATTTTGTAATCAAATTGTAATCAAATTGCCTCGATTTGATTAGTCGATTTCCAAGATAAATATCGAACAATAATGTAGTGTTCTGACTTTGATTTTATATTGTTATGTACATGATATCTAACATAAGTGAAAAAATTTATTCAAGAAATATGGAAAACGCAGAGACACGTGCTTTGTATAACGCATTGATGTTGTTAAAAATATTCTTCAAGATCATTAGAGCGTATAATAGGCCGAGATTAATAGCGCGTGTAACTTTACTCATATATAATATATCCTACAGAGAAAATGTCAAGCGGTGAACCAATATTTGATGATGACGCCGATGTTACTCTTCAAAACTGTCGGTTCATCCCCCGGTACTTAGGATACAATCAAGTTCCATTTGTCTACGCGTCTCCCCGTGGACTCTCCCCTATTACCCATACTACCCTTCATTGACTGTTGAGTCACTGTACCGCGCGAGAATTAAATTAATCGTTACCAAAGCGACGATTTTTTTTATGATGTATATCTGCGAGTCCGCCAGCAAATTAAGTTTCGAAATCTCGATTTTTCAATGACTTTAAAAGAGTGCGTCATTTCTTCGAATAGATTGTTGTTCAAAAAAAGTATCAGTTATATATTTTCCAGACTAAATTATTGTTTTAAAACTTATTATAAAATTATAATATTATAATATTATATAAAATTTTATGCCACTTATGTGAAATAGATAAGACTATAATGAAAGTAAATTGTGATGCAGCTTTACATGCCATATACATAAAATAGCATTTTTACGGTTGCAAATATCCTTTTTCTTTTACAAGAAACGCGATTCTCGAGAAAAAGAACGCAAAAGTAAGGCGAAATTATTCGTGCAGAGCATTGCCCTCCTACTGTTGCTCGTGAAAGTCGTTATACATGTGCCGCGTTTAATTTCGCAGGTAAATGAAAAGTTTTGCCGGAGAAGCAGCGGTAGATGCAGTTATAGCCTCGAGCTGGGGATGGGAGGTGAACGACTCCTCTATGTATATTTTTCCCAGTTTTCCGCTTTCTCACTTTCGAGTTTCTTTCTACGACAAGTTTCATTGTAACTATATTCACGTGCCGCTCCTCTAGCAAAAAAATCGGGCATTATACAAATTGTTCCAGCTTTTCCAGATATCGATTTTTTCCCAGATATATGGATATATCTGTAAATTTTCGATTTTGTTATCTTTTTTTTTTCTCACCAGTTTTTAAGAAAACAGCACATACTATATAAATATATTTCAATACATATTTTATTTGTTTGTTAAATTGTTGATTGAAAGATACATTTGTAAGAATTTATTAATGTTCATAAAATATTCAAAAACACTCACAATTATTTGTTATTGATATTAATATTTATTAATAATATGATTTGTATAAATAATATGATTTGTAAGCTTTCTAATTTTATCTTAAAATCTTTTATATTATAAAAAACCGCGCCTCTTTTCAGCAAAAGAAGATAATCTCTTTCTTCTATAGAAGAAAAATATTTTTTTTTCACTATTTTTAATAATTATGCATTGCAAATTTGTTTGGACCTGTTGTTACGCGTCGAGGTTTGGCAAAATTGACAGAATTTTATTCAATTAGATGATTATGCTACCAAAATACCATGCAATAAGGAGTGTATTCAGTTTATCTCGTATTGGCAATTAATAGAAAAAATGACATAAGCCAGTCGAAAATTGTTAAACACGCAAAATTTAAATTAAGTCATTGCCAGATAAAAAATTATATTATAATACGTAAATAATAAAAGAAATCTGCAACGTAATGTTTTAAATATACTTTTTTTCTTTCGTAAATTATTTTCTTTTTTTAGTTAGAAAAGTTGGTCAAATATTTTTGTTTGGATTGACCCATTTATCAAAATAAAAATCGAAGAAACTAATCGGTAGTCTAGTTTCGTCCTATATTTATACGTATTACTTTTATAAGAAGACTCAAAATAGAAAATCCATATTATAGAATTCACATATACAGGGTGGGGCATTTATATTGAGACACCTAAATATCTAAAAAATAAAGCAAGATAGAAAGAAATGTTTCAGACAAAAGTTGTTCGGTTCTAAGCGGGACACATTATGAAAATATGGACTTGACCTTGAATGACCTTTTCAAGGCCAAGTCAATGTGATCGATGTTTTCTTAAATGGAAACCCCCATTTTTTATTGCATATTCTTGTAGCTTATCTCGAGAGCTTTTCAAAACACTATAATAAAGTATTTTTTTATTAAGTAAAAAATACTTTATTATAGTGTTTTGGAAAGCTCTCGAGATAAGCTACAAAAATATGCAATAAAAAAGGGGGGTTCCATTTAAGAAAATATCGATCACATTGACTTGGCCTTGAAAAGGTCATTCAAGGTCAAGTCCATATTTTCATCATATGTCCTCCTTAGAACCGACCAACTTTTGTCTGAAACATTTCTTTCTATCTTGCTTTATTTTTAGATATTTAGGTGTTTCAATATAAATGCCCCACCCTGTATGTATATACATAAAAAGAATGGATTTTAAATTTATTTCCAAAGACACAAGATTTTTCCAATATTTTGCTTAATTTATTGCATCCTGAAATTGTTAAATTTTAGAATTGGCCTAACTCCTGATAGTAACGTCTGGATTGGTGCATGGTGGATTGGTTTTTTGGCTGCAGCTGTTATTTGCTTCATCATTGCGGTACCCGTTTTGGCATTTCCAGCAGCTTTACCAGGTATGATTACTCTTATGTTCTTTTATAGATATAAAATAATGATGAAATTAATTTTTAGAAATATCAGTAAAATCTAATATTCGATATAATTGAATTTTATAAAAAAAATGAATGATTTGAATAGGATCAGAGGAATTAGCCAAGGATAGGGTATCAGAGGCACATGAGAAATCGACCCGACCTTCTACTGCGGAAACGGGAAAAGTGTTTTCCAAAATACGAGAGCTGCCACGTGCTCTGACCGAATTGCTCGGAAATCCAGCATTTTTTATGCTGAATTTAGCAGGTGCCAGTGAAGGATTGCTGATTGCCGGATTTGCTGCCTTTCTGCCAAAATTAATTGAAAATCAATTCAGCGTCAATGCCAGTTCGGCTGCATTGTTGATGGGTAAATAATACACAACTAAATTAGATAATAAAAAAGGCTAACAAAGTCAGTTGTCAGTGCATTATTAACAAGGCTTGTACAAAAAATACTAGATAGTTTAAACATTTCGGTCTACAGCTTCTTCAGTAATATATAACAAATACAAGAGGAGAAAGGAGATTAGTTTAAAGTAATAAGTTAATTTATCATCAACAGTTTTACAGAAGTTTAAATTTATCATTTTATTTATATTATTTTACTCAATTTCTTTTACTTGATATTGTATTTTAAACTTGCGCTTTATTATCTCTCGGCAACCGCAATGTACTGGACAATAAGATTTTTGTCTAGGTTTTTGCGACTTGTCATCGTATCGCTGTTTCACTCATTGCATATTTTGCGTTTTCTAATGTACTCCAGATCTGCATTCTCACGGGTGAATCATTATACCTTTACACAATGTCTTGTCCACCGCATTTAATTATAAGTGCAATTGGCAATCACTTTTTACTGCATGTTTTTGGAAAAACGTTGTGGCGGATAATTTGAACTTTGCTTACTTTATTACTTGACATTCTTGTGAAGGATGCTTCTCTACTATATTAACTTTCTGTTAAACTTGTACATTTTTGAAGAGGATCCATACTGGTTGTGACCAAAATGTTTAAACCGTATGGTATTTTTTGTATAAATTTTATTAATACATGCATTGATAACTGCATCCGACTCTCTGCTCTAGTCTTTTCTTATTATCTATTTATATCTATATAATGCCTTGTTACATTCCAATTTTTATTGTGTTATTAAATCAATAATTCACACTATGGTCAGCATGAACCTCATATCTCACGTATACGCGTACAATGACTTTGTATGGAATTATTTTTATAAAGTTTTAAAAAAGCGTGACATAATATCAAAGAAAATAAAATAAGCAAATCAATTTTTGATAATTATCAAGAAATAAAATGTTAATTACTGCTTTGGCTCATATAATGAAACGATATTTCGCTTTCTGGTTTTCTTAGGATTAATAACCGTACCGGCAGGGGGTGGCGGTACTTTTCTCGGTGGTTATTTGATAAAACGTTTCAATTTGCCCTGTTCTGGCATTTTAAAATTTTGTCTATTGGCCACTGCTGCCTGCATCGCTTTTACATTATGCTTTGCTCTAAACTGTCCAAACATAGACTTCGCTGGATTAACCGTTCCTTATCAAAATATCACAAGGTTTGTACAATTGATAAATCCATCTAATAATAATGAATTGATAGATCATTGTAAATTATTATCAGACTATGACCCATTTAATTGCGTTTCTTATTATTCAAATTGTGATATCTTATTACAGAAAAATTTCATTATCTTTGGAGAATATCTGCAACAATGGCTGCGGATGTTCCAGATTACAATTTGATCCTATATGTGGCGTTGATGGAATCACATATTATTCACCTTGCTATGCTGGATGTTATCGTGAAACATCGATAAAGGATGTTAAAGTTAATGTCAAATTTTATCTTCCTGTATAAATTATACACAGAATATTCCACCAAAAGTGGCCACGTCTTTTTATCTTTTAAACTAAAAGAGATAGACCATAACAAATATACATATATCAAATTAAATGGTTCAAACTGAACTATATTATGAGCATAGTGGTTGCTTCCAAAAGCAATCTGTGTTAACGAACGGAGAAGTATGCATAATTTTTTTACAATAATGTGGACATTCCGATATAAAAAAAAATTGTAGCGCGTTTGAAACGAATACAACGATGTATAATATAATGTAAATATTTTACATATTATATACGAGTTTTATTAACTCGAAATATCGCTGGCGACGTTTACCTTTTCATTTTCAACCCTGAGATATAGCCAACTTCTGATTGAATATTATGATCAAATGACGACATGACACATATCAATCTTTAATGCACGAATCAGAAGTTGGCCATAATACAGGGCAGAAAGTGAAAAGGTAGACGTTGCCCGTGATATTTCAAGTCGATAAAACTTATGTAATATTTACATTATATTGTACATTATTGTATTCGTTTCAAACAGCGCTATAACTTTTATCATATCAAAATATCCACATTATTATAAAAAAAAAATTATGCATATCTCTCCTTTCGTTAACATAGATACCTTTTGAAAGCAATCACTATGCTCGCAATAGAGTTCAGTTTGAACCATATAATTTGATATTTATTTGTTACGGTCTATTTCTTTTAATTTAAGAAATAAAAGGGGGTGATCACTTTTAGTGGGACACCCTGTATATTTTGCAAATATACAGAGTATCCCAGAAGAGTATCTTAGACCGATAAATTTCAGGTGGTTACGAAAGACATCAAAATAAGCCAATTTTGTCAATAAATCCGTGTCTGCAAATGAATCGTTTTGGCACTAAAGAATTAAAGACTTACAAGAGCAAAAATTTTTGAAAAAAATTATTTTTCGAAATTTTATTAATGTGGTTAAATAGAGGTTTTTATCACAAAACTTTTGTATAAAACATTTTTTTATATTTTGAATAATTTTCGAGATATATCGAGAAAAACAAAAACCCGCTCTATATATAAAGGGTGATTTTACCCTTTAGAATTGTTTTTGGGCCGCAACTGGAAATTTCTAAATTCATCTATTTACTCCCCCCCCCCCACTCCTACACGTGTGTAAAGTTTCATCAAAATCAGAATTTTCGGGTTCGCGAGGTTGCCTTGTTAGTCCTTGATTATCTAGTGCCAAAACGGCTCATTTGCGGGTTTATTGGCAAAATTGGCTTGTTTTGATGTCTTTAACCACCAGAAGTTTGTTGGTCTAATTCTGAGACATCTTGTATAATATTTTACTTTTTCGTAAAGATAAATTTTATGGTGTTTATCTTTCTATAGATATACATGGATTGTAGTTGCATACATTCACCGGCGATGAATTTAACAACTGAAGATAGTGGCGACATTATTCATTATCAAGCTATCAACACTACTTGTGGAAGCACGTGCTCGTACCTATGGTTGTTTATCGTTTTGGCATTTTGCAATATGTTTATGACCTTTTTATGTACGATGCCAGCACTCTCGTCTACATTGCGAGTCGTGCGGGACGATCAGAGATCGTTCGCTTTAGGCATACAATGGATCAAAGTTCGGATTTTGGGAACAATACCGGCACCGATGGTATTTGGCGCTCTTATAGATGATACTTGCATCTTATGGAATGAAACGTGCGATGGTAGAGGAGCATGTCTCGTATATGACAATTATTATATGAGCAGGTAAGCAAATTACACACGGTGGTGACTTGTATGTAAGATTCATATTCCAGTCGCGCGTAAGGTTCAAATTCGCGATTTGTGTGCTCACACATATATATTTTTCAGATATATGCTTGCCCTAGCATTTATTGGAAAAGCAGCTTCGCTTCTTTTCTTTTTCCTAGCATGGTGGACGTATATCCCACCAGGAAGTAGAGACATCGATCAGAATTCGCAGCAGCAAGCTACTGCTACTTTAACACTGAGCGATACATCTCAAGAAGTTCAAATAGTACCAACCACGATAGCATAAATTTGGATTACTTTGTTTTTTAGAAAATTCTCTTACACTACTACTTTATAGAAATGTGGTAGAAATAATTACAATTTATTACACGGATAAACAAATGTTTCAGCATATCTTTTTATAATAAGATAAACTCTGAGACAGAAGATGATTCCAATGTACAACAAGTGTCATCACAAATGCATAAGCAAATATTAAGATGGGATAAATGTTTATATGTTAATAGAGCGCTTACGAAAGAGTGGAAGAGTATGCTGGAAACTCTTTCTCGCGCGTTAAAAATATAACAAATTTTTGATAATTCTATACTTAAGGTTTGGAAGTCAATCAAATGATATTAAAACAAATTCTGATTATCATGATAAAAATCTTACAAAATCCAAAGCTTTTGCATTTTTCTCTTTCTCTGTAATAAACAAACCGCCATGTTAATAAAAGCACAGACCAATTTATGCAGTTTTAAAACAAAGAAAAACTTCCGAGCCTAACTTATAATGTAAATTTTTATAATCCTAATGTTTACAAATTGCCTATTAAAAATTAATTAGACCTATATTTCCTATAATGATAAATATTGATATTACTATGTATCCAAAAAGAAAAACATAATTCACATAAATTTCGAAGACATTTCTACCAATATATCAATGCTTTGGTGGTTGTCTTATATATCATCGATTTGATATCAAATTTTTTACTGTAATTATTTTTGTTAAATGGAAGAAATGCCAATATGCCTAGGGCCTAGAGTATTTATAGATGTCATGAATAAAAAACTATTGAGGTGTATTACACAGCTTAATTTTTATTTTTTGATGTATAAGATATGTTATAAGTAAAATTTTTGTTTTCCTTTTTCTACGCAATGTTCTTTAAGGATAAAGCTTGTATAATTCTAAACTAAATATTATAGAAGTAATTATACAAGTACTAAATATTATACAAGTATTTACATTAAAACATATTTTAGAATCACATTAATTTTCAGCCAAAGTATGTCGCCATTCCTTTAAGCAAATTGTGTGTGAATTGTACATAACAATAGATAAACTAAAAAATTAATTTAATGCACATTGCGTAGTAATTTGACAGCATTAACACACTACTGTCCCGGAATTTTGAAATTATTAAATAGTTTGTGCAATCTAAGTCTTACGATCAAACTTTAAATTTTTTAACGTTCAAGATAAATATATGTTATACATATTGAGTTTTGTGTGTGTGTATACTGACGTTTACTGCAGTAATTTGGCTTCTTATTGATTTTGATTTGCAACATGAGTCGATTGTGCGCGTTTATTTGCAAATGCATATAGCAATAGGTAATAAAGACAGGATGCGTAGGATATGTCAAGTAGATTGTCAGGAAAAAAGGTAAAGAGAGGGAGTTAAAGAATGGAAAGAGAAGGGAGGACTAGGAGAGTCATAGACTCATCCTCGCGATACTTTCACTTGAACTTCTTCTATCACAAAGTAGAGATCTTCTAGATGCTGGGAGCGGTACTCTTATTATACTTTTTACGGAGAATCGAACTCTCTTGTGTAATATTCTTTAGTAATTCTAACTTTTCACAAAAAATGGTGTTCTATTGGATTTTACAACCTTACTTTCTACTATGCGCTCTATTCGTCGTCACTGTTTACACTGAAGAAGTTTCTGTAAGTAATAAAAACTTAAAATATTGTTACAGCAATATTATGTTAGGTTCGATTAGCTCTGCAGATCAATGAACCATCAGAAATGAAAAGCTATATACATTTATAGAATATACTACATCATCCCGATTTTTAAAAATTATGAAGAAACAGGTTGTTTTCAAAATGCATAATTCAATTATTATTGTTTGCAGAAAACCATGCCGCCAAATATTTCAACGAATTTTTCTTGTCTTAATCGGCCTATGGGATTTTATGCCGACGTTGAAGCGAATTGCAGAGTATATCACACATGCGATGATCATGGAAATAAATTTAGTTACCGATGTCCCGAGGAAACGGCTTTTCGGCAGGATGCCTTAATATGTGATCATATTCATCTCGTTGATTGTCGAGCAATCGTTTATCAATCAAAACAATTTCAAAACGAAAATAGCAATAAGGAAAATATGCACACAATGCCTTTGATAAGATCACCAACCGTATCCATCGATTCGCTCGATAATGATCGACAATCATTTTCACGTTCTTTCAGAGTGATTCAACAACCCGACAAAATCAAGTCTAATAAAGCCGAGTCTGGTTTTGTATTCAGTGCAAGTATATTTTTAAGAGATAAGGTACCAAATCAAGCTGGACAAATCACCGACACTTGCAGGACATGCAATGCTAATTCGAAGAATCGCATGACAGTTTCCACTTCTCGATCGCTCACTGAGCAGTTCAGTTCTTGGAATTCACGTAATGATAAATCAATTCCGCCAAGAGAGTCGTTACCTTCGTCATCATTGGAGACTCGCGCTTTCGCGCGAGACAAAAGTGCCGTGCATCTTAATCGTTCATTCGAGCCGATTGCAAATTCTTCTCTTCTGAAAATGATAGCACCAGAAGGTAATCAGCGTTCGCCTGCTCTGCGTGAAAAGTCTTCTTTTTTGAGTTACAACAGTGACTATCATCCATATTCAGAGACTCTAAGATCGATCCAGGCTAACACTCATACGCTCAACATAAAGTCCACCACGGAAATACCTGTACATGCTTTGACGCTCTCCTTAAAGCCATTGGTGCCAAATGAACTGGAATATGACCCCTACTATCCCAAACAATCAACGTCCACTGAGGCATACTACACACCCAGCAATCGCGATAAGGTCACTAACGCTCCTTTTTCTAACCAGATGTCGCCGATAATCGCGCACCCTGATTTTTTCGAAATCCCATCTATACTGCCCGATCTGAATATTTTAGAGGATTTGGTCGATCGCCGAAAGTTTTTTTATATCCCGCGCATAAACATCAAGTCGATGCACCGTTAATTATTTAAAAAAACATTCATATTTATAATGTTACGTGCAAAATAATTTTAAATAGCTTTATTTTGTTACAAAATAAATTGTGTATTGTATATTCATGTTGATAGTGTGTATTGTTTGTGATTTATCTTACATAAAAATGATCTAATAAATATAATATTGAGTACCACTCGGTGACTCGGTGACCTCAAAAGAGCTTCCATCTCTTAAAGCGGATGACACACGAGTCGCTATCATACTGAAAGAAATTATTGACGTTAATTTTATATGAAAAATTTAATTGCATTATATGTTATCGATGTTGTATTACCTGCTTGAATGCCGATGCCAATGCTCTATGAAAGGTGTTAAAAATCTTCCTGCAATTTGCTGAATATTTATTAAACCTCGAAATATCTCGGTTAATGTGGTTACTATTATATTTTTATTGTAATATTTTGCTTGTAAGCGTTTAATCTCTGACGTGAATCCTAAAAGTAATTATTCATATATAATGCACGTTCCATAGATAATATATGCCAAATTAAAAATATAGACAATTAGCAACGAAGCTAACAGATCTATTTTCTCACCGGAATATGAGACTGTAATTGGTAGTAATTCTTGCCAAAATTTTGTTTTCAATGAACAGCGACACTTTTCTATAAGATGCCGAATATATTTATTCTCTTGTTTGAAAAATTGAATATTTTTTTGTAACTCTTCAACTTGCGTTTGCAGTTGTAGTTGTATAACTTCTTTTCTCCAACGATCAATATTTACATCTTTTTTCAACTTTTGCATATCATCATACATCTTCGAATGCAACGTCTGGTTTGAACTCAAATAAAAACTCAATTCTTCGAGTTTACTGAAAAATATATACAATAAAAATATTATTTTGTGTAATTGTACACGTTTACTTAAACAGAATATTGTAGAAATACTGATTATACAGAGTATCCCATGACTCGAGATCCATACATTAAGGGCGTATTGTTGAAGTCATTTAGAGTTAAAATTGTTTAATAAACATATCCGTAAATGCTTCCTAACAGAACAACAACAATTAAAAGTTGATGTGAATATTTGAAACATTTTCTGTCGGACTGGTATTGTTTACATTTTCTGTCAGTCTAGCATTGTTTACATTTTCTGTCAGTCTGATGTTGTTCACATTTTCTTTTCAAGTTACTAAAATGTCGTTTTTAAACGAAGAATACGCCGATATTCATTACATGTATGGTTATTGCGATAGACGATAGAAGAGATAATTTTAAACAGAATTTATAATACATTTGTAAATAAACAAGTTAACTTAAATGTCTTTTTTCTTTCCTTTTTCAAATATTCACATCAACTTTCAATGGTTGTAGTTCTGTTAGGAAACATTTACGCATATATGCTTATTAAACAATTTCAACTCTAAATGACTTCAATAACACGCCCTTAATGTATGGACTTCGAGTTATGAGACACCCTGTAAATGAATGCTTTAGTCTATATGATAATTTCACAGACACCATATTGAGTAGAGAAGTGTTATATTTAAGACTTATTAGTGAAGTATATACAAATTTTTATATTTTTCAAGTTTTCGACAAGAACACAAGTCGGCATTAAAAAAATTGACAAAATCAAAATTTAATATTAAGATATTTAAAAAATGTACTTTGCAACTGTCGTATTCCTCTCCATATTATTATGAATAAATATGAAAATTTTTACATGTCCGCGTCATCAAAACTTGATTTCACTGAAATTACATTCATATTTGATATTTAAAATATAATGAAAATTATATAGTTACATGATTAGATGCAATTAAATTGTCAATATGCTAATTATGGCTACCATTTTATAAAGCGTAAGCAGCTTATGTTTTCGCGACATAATTTTAGACGTTTTCGCGACATAACAATTTAGACGATAATAACTACACATGGCGTTTGTTGGGTTAAAATTGAAAAACTTGATATTTATCAAGGTTTAATATAATAAAGAGAATAAAGATTCTACGTTCAAACTATATTTTGATATGTGTGTTGATACTGTGAATACGTTTTAATAAGATTTTCTTTCAGCATAGGCAATGATATGATGGAGATCTCGCTTCTAGTTTCATCTTTCACAAGCAATCCACACGCGCATGGACAGAACTGAAAAATAATTCCGTATAATTAATTTCACTAAATCTTTTTATTTTTCTATAACTATTTATTATGTTTTATCTAGACAGGTCTAGATAGAATATGCAGTAAAAGTTTTACAACAGGTTTCCTATATCATATCTATATTTCAATTTTACAACAATTTTTGACTATTTCCAAGTTAATTTTTTTTTACAAAAGTGAATTAAATTATCAACATTTTTTGAAATATAAATAAAGAGCTTTTATAAATTATCAGTTAATAAAATTTCAATGTACAATTTTCTTAGCATAACAAATAATAAATTAAGATTACCATTTCGTGAGTAAGCGTCGATGCATCTTGAGTAGAGGAAAATGTGGGCGATACGTATGTAATTCTCGAATTTTGCTGTGTTAACTTTGTTGATTTTAACATCTTACTGACATTATACTTGTGTTCACTGTCTGTATTGAGTATAACAGTCACATAAATCAGTATAAATCTATTATATCTATTGATAGAGAAAAAGAGAGAGAGAGGGGCGGGAGAGAAAGAGGGTGAGAGGGAGGAGGGAGGCTTTGTTGATCTTACTGACATTATACTTGTGTTCACTGTCTGTATTGAGTATAACAGTCACATAAATCAGTATAAATCTATTATATCTATATATCTATTGAAAGAGAGAGAGAGGGGCGGGAGAGAAAGAGGGTGAGAGGGAGGAGGGAGGGT